TATATATATATATGCTCTCTTCGTACATATATATACATGTATATGCATATACATGTACATATATGCATATATAATATTGATGTTGTGAAAGAAAGAAAGAGATAAACAGAGAAGGAGACAGATGGAGATAGAGAGCGAAAGAGAGAGAGAGAGAAACAAAAACAAAGAGACAGAAGACAGAGAGAGACAGAGAGAGACAGACACACAAACAGATAAAGAGACAAAGAGAGAGGCATCAGTAGAAGAAGACAGAGACAGAAACAGAGACAGAAAGATAAAGAGACAGAGACAGAAAGCTAAAGAGACAGAGACAGAAAGATAAAGAGACAGAGACAGAAAGATAAAGAGACAGAGACAGAAAGATAAAGAGACAGAGACAGAAAGATAAAGAGACACAGACAAAGAAGGAGACAGAGGAGGAGACAGACAGAGACAAAGACAGAGACAAAAAGAGACAAAGAAGGAGACAGCTTTCTTCTTATTGTGGGGTGTTGAGTAAGGGAGTCTCCTCTGGGATCGTCAACTCCCCGCCCCGCCAGACATCGAATGTGCTGTCTCCACCGCCAAACCCTAAACCCTAAACCCTAAACCCTAATCACTCAACTGGGCCCTCTTGTTCTACTTGCAGCGATTAAACGCTGCAGTATATATTGATGTATCTGTATTCGTGTGTCTCTATGTACACACAAATATATATATATATAAATATATATATATATAACTATATATACTCAAGTAGAAATATAAGTATATATATATATATATATATATATATACTTGCATGCCTATATGTATACATATCTGCATGCGTATCTATATCCCTGTATGTCTGTGCATGCATACATATATAATTATTATAAGTATATGTTTATTAAGACATGCATATATATGTATAAATATGTGTACATATATATACATATATGTATGTCTTTATAAACAAATGCATATAAACTATACACATATGTATAATTATATATATAATCTATTTATATATATATATATATATATGTCTATACATGTATATGAATATATAAATATATATGTATATATATAATTCTATAAACATACGTATACATATATATATATATAAACCTATATGTATATAAAATATATCTTCATTATATATACACTTATATATTAAATATATATATATGTACATAAATATTTAAATATATACATATATATACATACATACATACATATATTATATACATAT